GAGAGAGATAGACAACAAACAATATATTGATGTCAAATGGTTATTTGACAGGCTTAATACCAGATGTAATAAATGCAGTTCAGATTTTGACATAGAAATAAATAATGGAGTAATAAATAGCAATATGACAGCCCAAAGAATAAACAACGATTATGCCCATCATAAGGAAAACTGTATATCTTACTGTTTAAACTGTAATCGCCGGGAAAAATAATATCTATCTTATTTTATATGGCATCTAAGCAAGATATTATTAATAATGTTTATTATGATAAGGGAGGCTTCGGGTCAAAGAACCGCACTTTACAAGAAGCAAGAAAAAAGGATAACACAATAACTATAAACGATATTAATGAGTTTTTTAGGAAGAATGTAGAACAGAAAGCCAAGCCAAGAGGACAGAATTCATTTGTAGCTCCTAACGCATATTATGAGTTTCAAATTGATTTTTCATTATGATATCCCTAAACAAAAAATGAAAGTTGGCATGATGTGTATTGACATATTTTCTAAGTATATGGTTGTTGTCCCGCTTATGTCAAAACAGCCAGCGGACATTTTAGCAGGACTGATGGAATGTATTAAAAAAATGGATGGAAAGCCCAAACTAATTTATATTGACGATGAAGGAGCTTATAATAATCAAAGTGTTATAGATTTTTTGAAAGATGAAAAAATAGAATTACATAGAACCAGAGGTCACCCAGCATTCGCGGAGAGGGCGATAAGGACGTTTAAAGATAGCTTGTATAAGAGGGTTGAAAACGATGAGAAAAAAGGAAAGGCTATTCAATGGACAGACTACATACACGAGATTATATTAACTTATAACAATGGAATAAAGCACACTTCGCACGGCTTAACACCGTCAGAAGCAAGAAAGCCTAAACATCAATTAGAAGTGAGTTTAAATCTAGGCATGAAAGCCAAAAGAAATAGAGTTTATCCAGATTTACATGTAGGAAATGAAGTTAAGATATTCAGGAAAAGGAGACCGAATGAAAAGGAGAGAGTAGGAGTATGGACTAAACAAACCTACAAAATAGCAAAGATTGAAAAGAAGTTAGGACAGGAATATTATTATATTGAAAATTATGACAGGGCATTTTTGAGACATGAGTTATTAAAGGTATAAATTTATTTCTTGGAAAAAAGTATTTAAAGAAATAAAAACTATATATATTATAATAGAAATGGTGGAAACCGAAATCAATAATTATATCAATAAGAAATGCTACGATTGTTGCCACTTTAAAAAAGAAAATATGGAATTATATAAATTGAATTTACCTAATGGAATAGTTAATAATATTATTGATTATTCAATGGATGAAGAAGATATATGCGAAAATTGTAAAACCTGGAGAGATAATCAAGAATTAATCAGATGTCATTTAAATCTGAAAAGAAGACATAATAGAAATGTTGAAGACAACATTATAATATTTTTAACTGTGTATGAAAGACCACCTTATAGTTATGTTAGAGTATTTCTCAAAATCAGTAAGAAAAAGTATGAACTGATTAACCACATTTTATGGATATTGTTACATCGTAGAAGAGAAGGGGCTGATGTAAAAGAAGACATTAAATCAGAAATTGAAAGCAAAAAGTTTAATGTGAAAAATACCGTGAGAGATATTAATATTATTTTTGAACTGATGCATGACAGACATAAGATATATACACAATTTAATAATCATCAATTAACTTATTATCCTGAACTTAAATTATAATCATAATATAATAATAACATGTAAAATATTATATGTTATAATTATATTTCAATATGTAATTTTATTTCTTGTAAAAAAGTATTTAAAGAAATAGAAACTATATATATTATAATAGAAATGATGGAAACCGAAATCAATAATTATATCAATAAGAAATGCTACGATTGTTGCCACTTCAAAAAGGAAAATATGGAATTATATAAATTGAATTTACCTAATGGAATAGTTAATAATATTATTGATTATTCTTTGGACGAAGAAAATATATGTAGAACTTGTAGAAGATGGAGACGATATCAAAATATAATAGAAAATTGTTTGGCGTTTAAAAATATAGATGAAAGAAATGTTGAAGATGAAATATTGATATTTTTAACTGTGTACGAAAGACCACCTTACGATTATGTTAAACAGTTTCTTAAAATCAGTAAGAAAAAGTGTGAAATGATTAATGACATATTATGGATGTTGATTTATTATAGTAAACCCGGCGTTGATGTAAAAAAAGTCATAAAATCATATATTGAAAGTGAACAGTTTAATGTTAAAAATACAGTGAGAGATATTAATCTTATTTTTAAAATGATGTATGAAAGAGGTAAGATATATCAATTAAATTATTATCCTGAACTTAAATTATAATCATAATATAATAATAACATGTAAAATATTATATGTTATAATTATATTTCAATATGTAATTTTATTTCTTGTAAAAAGTATTTAAAGAAATAAACACTATATATATTACAGTGGAAATGTTATTTAATTATTCAAAGTGCGAATGTTGTACAACTAAAAGGAATGATGTTAATACAACATTGTATAAGTTATTACCTGCTAATCTGTGTAGTAAAATAAGTGAATATGATGTATATTGTAATCAATGCTGTATAACAAGAGACCTTGAAAAGTTTTTTGTTGAAGAACATAAGGATAAGGGATATACAAAGTTTCAATTACAATTGAAATTCTTTATGAGATATCAAAAACGATTTCCTGTATGTTTTTACCATAAAATTGCTAGAAAGTCATTTGAAAAAGAAATTGATGAGTTCTTTAATAATAAAGATTTAATTAAGAGGTTTGGAGGGGCAAACGCAATTAAACCATATAAAGCATTCGTTAAAAAATTTCGAGACATGTTTGAAGCGATTGATTGGCATTTATTAAGTAAAGATAAAATAAACGAGGTCTTGAATGAATTTAGAATAACTAAATATCATGTATGGTCTTACTACAACACTAAATATCAAGTATGGCTACTAGTTAATTTGTTTTTCTGGGAATATATTTATTCAATAATAGGAAAAGACAATATCAAATATATAGACATTGGCGATATTGATAAATATGTAGATTACATATTTGAAGACATTTTTCCTGACTATAAATGTAACCCATAATTATTAATCATACTATAATAATAACATTTATACCCTTATATGTTATAATTATAATGTAAGTATAGCGTTTTATATATTGAAGATAAAATCCTACAAGGGGATGCGAGCGTTAGCGAAGCTCGCAAGCTATGCGACCACGCCCAAAAAATATATGATGAAACTGATGAAACGAAGGAGGGAGTGATGTTGTTGCTGTTCTATTTTTTGTCCGGGAAATGGACAAATCGTTTTTAGACAGTTCGAATATTTTTTTGATGACAAATATTTTTTGCAATATATTTTGCAAAAATTATTTTTTTGAAATGGATGAGGTGAGGAGATTGAGGAAATGACATTTTGGAGGGTAGTTGGTGAAATGAATGAGGCGAGGAGGAAGGAGAAAAGGATGGCGAAAATTTTGGAAAAATGATGATAAAAAAACGGATGAGATGGACAGAAAGGAATGTAGAAAAATGATGAAAACAAATAAGGGTAGAAGATGGAAGATGAAAAAAAATGTAGGGGGGGGTGTATGTATGAAAGCAATTTATTGCTGGGCGTGGCCCTCGACTACTGTTAGGACCTATTTCTAGTGGGGATTGGGATGTTCACTGGGGGTACGGGATTTTGACTCGATCTTTTTTTTGGATTGGTGGTTTGGATTTAGATTTGAACCCCTGGTTCTTGTAGAGGGTAGATGGGAGCTGATTTTCAAGCGTTCTTGCTTGGTTCTCCTTTTCGGTGTGGCTGGATGCGTTTCTTCCTCGGAAGCTTGCTTCGGGGGAATGATTTCAAGGCCAGAAATGGAGGGTTCGTTTCTTTAGGTGCGGAGTGGGTCCAATGATCAGCGATGCTGGTCTCAAAGCAAGGTGATGCAGGGGATGCAGGCATAGCATCCTGCCTTGGCGTGGTGATGTTGGTGATGCTTGCGATGCGAGTGGTTGAGAATTACAGGCCAGCCCGAGCAACAGCGAAAACAGCAAGGGACCCTGCTCACGCAATCACCGCATGGTACCTTTTCACAGGAGTTGCGTTTTGTCATCCAACATCACAGTCGGGCAGACTGCGCTCAGGAGTCAGGCATACGTAACAAAGGCGTGCTTGTCGTGGGTTGTGCCCTTTGCTGGCGAGACGGGCCTCATCTTCCGCAGGGCTGTCTCGTTTGGAGCCTTTGTCTTCGGCTGCCGGACGATTCCACATCAACAAAACACAAGCACGTAAGCAGTTGCTATCGTCTTACCGCCAGGTACCCTCCCACCAATGAACATGACACCTGCCGTAAAAAGGGCGGGTCCTGGCGTCCTGGCTTGGGCCATTTTCCTTTGAAAGCGACCGGGTCCCTAAAGGTCGGGTTCCGGCTGTGAATTGGTGGGAGGGAAAATATGTTTTTCTTTTGTGTCGTCGTTGTCCTCTTGTTTGGAACGCTCACATGGCTGTGGGTCAAAACCAATGGTACCATTTTGGGGTAGGTGCACCACCCATTTTCGAACCTATTTTAGTGGTTGGATTGGGTACGATTTGGATTTTGACCCATGGCCACATGTTTGTATGAGAGGCGCATGCAGGATGCCAAGGGGCCTGTGTGTACTTGCAACTGGTGGGCTCTTTATTTGGGCCACTCTAGCACCCAAACCACCAAGTCAAACCACCAACTGGAGGGAAGCTGAAACAAATACAACTCCAGCAGCCGACGGCGGATCCGCAATTCGTGCTTCAGATGGAGTTGCTCAGTTGCTTTGGTATCAACAAAGTGGATCTCCGTAATTAGCACGCGCCGATCACGCCAGACCCGAAGAGAAGCAAAGGCACCACACGCCCAAGGACCGGTTCTCGATCAGATGCCGTTCTCGCGGTCTCACCCTCTGACCCTTCGCCCGAGGTTCCGATGGCTTCTCAAGCATTGGCCTCGCTTGGCCACGGGTGGTTGACGAGGAGAGGGTCAGGGGAGCGCTTTCTTCCGGGATAGACAGACTCCCTAGGCTTTCCTGGAAGGCGTGAGGGTATCCTTTTTTCTTTGGGCCAAAAGATTCCAGTGTCTGGAGAGCTGCGGATATCTGAAACCCCACCACGTGCCCAGCTGGCAGCCTGCCGAAAGCTGGCCCGCCAGTTGCGACACGACTCTTTTCACCACTCCGCGAGCGCCGCTTGGCGCGCGCGATCGATCCCTTTGACTCGACGCGAGCGAGGGATCGACATGAGGGATGTGGCCATAGGTGTCCTTTAGGTTGGTTTGGTTAAACATAGATGGCACTGGTTTAGATAGGGTTCATTCCATTTACCAGGGAAACCCATCTATTTTTCCCAAAGGCCAGCTGTGGCACGCAGGTGCGGCTGAAGGAGGTCTTCAAGAACTTCGACCGGGACCGGAGCGGCTTCATCGACCTGAAAGAGCTGCAGCTGGTCTCTGAGGAGCTAGGCGGGGAGACCGCCATCCCGTGGGAGTTCGCGGGCCTGGGAGTTATGCAGTTCTGCCTCTACCTTTTGGGGCGATCGAGGAGATCGATGCAGGGCGCATCAGGTAAGTGGTGATCGTAAGCGGAAAAATAAAACACTGAACGCAGACTTAGAACCATGATGCTTTTGTGGCTTGTACCCACGGTTATGACCCACTTGCTTCGTGCAATGCCCCTTTCAGTATATTCAACTTGGGCCGTCCACCCTGCGTAAGTAACGCCTCTTCATGGCTGGTTCGCAAGTAGGGCTCCCCGAAACTGGCTGGTTCTCAAGTAGGGCTCCCCGAAACTGGCTGGTTTCCTCTTGGCTTTCCCTTGGAGCGGCGAAAACGGGTTCCAAGCCTTGGAACGTCCCGTTCCTCTCCCGAGCCAGGCATGACCTTGAGCGTCCAGGAGGTTGAAGACGCCATGCGAGAGCTGAGCAAGCCCCGCGGCGTACGGCGTTCGACGCGGGTGGGGGGTCCGATTCCCATGGCTAAGCTACGGCCAGGTTGCAGGTCTGGTGAAAAGCAGCGGTCCATTTGGCATGGACGATCTCGAAGAATTTCCCAGGGAGACTTTCTCACTCCATAGTCAGGGTGCCCGAAGATGTTGAGTCTTTGAGGAGCTGTCGCCTTTTCTTTGGGGCAAGGAACCGGTCTGTGGATATGTGCGCTTGTCTCAGAAGTCTGGAACGGCGTCGGACTACCGGAGCAAGTTGTGACCCATGAGCAATGAGCAAATGAGCCATGCATGTATTTTCAAACATATTGTGTTTCCCGCTTGAATGCATGACCATGGCTGTGCCGAACAGCGGAAGTCGGCCGCACACTTTCCCATGTTCAGCTGTGCTAGTCGCTCATTCGAGCCTAGATGGATTCCATGGCCGTTGGCGAGAACCATGTTGCCCAATCACTTGCTCAGCTCACAACCCACCAGTTTAGTTTGGGTTCCGCAAAGATAAGGGTTGCGAAGTACTGAAGGGAACGGCTTACCCCAAAAAGAGAGAGAGAGAGAGGGAGAGAGAATTCCGTTTGCTTCTGGGCTCACGCTATGGGTGTGGCTCAGAATCAAACAGGAGGGGTTACGCAGGTTTTGGTCCATGTGTCCACTTACCAGGCTTGATTTTGATGCTGGTTTTTTGAGCCACAGCCATATGGCTATTCGCTTTCTGCAAACAAGTGGCCTTGCTCCTGGCTCAGAAAGACCGAACACCGCAGGGGGGGGGGGGGGTAATATTCGCCTCACGTGCTAGCAGGGCGGTTGTTCGCATCAAGCCTGTTGATCAAACACATTCATAGTCCTACTGGTGCTGACTTTCACAGATGGTATGAGCGGCTGACTTGATGGCAAGGATCAAAGATGTGTTTGAAGCTGTCGATAGTTGCACGTCTGCCATTTTTCCACTTCGCACATTCTTCCCTGTAAGGCACACCTTTTTGGATATTGCATTGCAGATTGCAGGGTCCCGATTTTTTTGCGGGATAATCGGATAGTCCAGAACAGCTCTCTGCCAACCATTGTTGGGTATCGGTTGCGGGGTAGAACAGCTCTCTGCCAACCCACGGCTTTTTCTTGGTGCTTCCGTTGATGGAGCTGAGGAACAAAGGCGACACCTGCAGCTTCGAGGACTCCTTCGCGATTCGATCTCCGACCGACTCATTCGGTCTGCTTCGACCGATCCCCGTGCTCGATGCCAATGGGACGGGTGTGGATGGGGTTCTACCTTTTGACTACCCCCAAAAAGAGTGAAACCCAGGGGAGGTTGATTTCCCTCAAAGCGAACCCCCTGGGTTTAAGTCTAGCTTGGGGTAGTCAAAAAGTAGAACCCTGGTTCTGGATGGCTGAGCGAATTCCAGACATCGCACCACTGGACACCATGGTTGAAACCGCGTGGTTTATTGGTCTTTGCGCGGAATTATCAGAAACCAGGGCTTCTTAGGTGCAGGATTCGTCCATCCACAGTATGTTGGCTTGCTTGTTTCTCCCCAAGAAAGAGAGACTAGCTGACGGTCGCTCGTTTGAAAGGAGTCGAGTTCTATTGATTTTGCTGCTCAAGGTCTAGCGCAGATAGCTGCGGGAAACGGAGCGGTCAGTTTTGCAAGTGCCCCACGACTAAAAATCGCAGGCTGGCTTCCGTCTTTGACATCAAACTTTGGAAAGCCCTTCTGTCCATCAATGGGTCTGAGCATTGGCTCCGGAGAGGTGCGAGAAAGGCGGCTCGGGGTCAACCGGCCCCAACCTGTTGGTTTTATTCTGAACCTGGTCGCGCCATTGCCCGCCGCCCGGTCTTTGGTTCAGGACTTTCGAAGTTGGTGGATGGAGCACAACTCCCAAGAATACGGCGCCGCGGCGGGGGGGTGTGGGGTTTGGGGTTTGGTGAACTTCGTTTGGTGGGTTTTGCACGGGAACGATGTTGAGGCAAATCCGCGTGCATGGCCCAATGGAATGCGGCGTTGACCCAAAGGGTGAGCCACATGAACATAGATTCACCACAAGTAGCTTCACCAGGAACCTCCAAGGAAAGAACCGTGTAGCAACAAGCGTGTTTGGGCTGATGGCTTTTGTGCATGCCAAAAGTCGATGTGTGTGTGTGTGTGTGTGTGTGTGTGGGTGCGTGCGTGCGTGCGTGCGTGCGTTCGTGCGTGCGTGCGTGTTTGTTTGTTTGTTTGTTTGTTGGTTCGTTCGTTTGTTTGTTTGTTTGTTTGTTTGTTTGTTTGTTGGTTTGTTTTTGCGTGTCGTCATCGTTGCCCATGCTTCATGACAATTCTGCCAAGGAGCATGCAGGATCTGCTTAAGTGGCATGCCTTAAGCTGCGCAGCGAATCGACTGCGAACGGGCAAGTCGATGCAACTAGAAGATCCCTCTCCGCGTTGTATTCGGGTCTGGGAGACTGATTTGCCTGTGCACAGCTGAGGTGTGCTGGGAAGGACACTCATGAAAGCAGGCTTACCCTTCGGCCTTCCTTGGAAAAGCTGAGAGCAGTTTAATCTTTCCGTAACTTCACTTAAAGGGACGCGGTACTTAGCAAATGGGCAATAACCATGGTTCTAACCCACAAAATCTTACAAGCCGGGCTTTCTAGCCACTTACTAAGTATCATGCCCCTGTGAGCCGTGCGGTTGCTTGAATCGCAAGCCCTTCCAAAGGAAGGACTCTACACTTTTGGGGCACAGCCCTGACACTCAGCTCCTTGGCGGGCAGCCCATGGGAGTGTGTCTCATAGGGAGCCCTGAAACCGAAAGATACCAAGACGGAAAGGCATGGGCGTGTCTTTGTATGAGGCCACTCAACTTGTTTTGTGCGGTTGTAAAGGAAAGCCACCAGGTGCCGAAGCCCGTTTCGGGGTCCCCGAAAAAGAAGACACGCCCAAGTCAAAAATGGAAGGGTCGCCTGGTTGGGACACCCATCCCGGGAGCAGTCCTCCGCAGGTGTACAAATTTGTAGCACTCGAGGCACTTCATAAATGGTGAAGAGCCGCAAGACGAGCCGAGCGTCCATGACATCCCTGGCCTGTTTCGTGGGGGAGCAGATTTTGCCCCAGAGACTTTTGTTTTAGCCAAAAAAAGCAGGGAACGTGGAATGACGTAAATGATGCAAAGGCATTATTTTCAAGTAGGGCTCGTGATAGTGGCAGATGGAAAAGCCGAGCGTTGCTTTGATGGGCAGAGCAGGTGAGTCGTTCTGACTTGCATAGTTGATTCAGAAGATCAATTATCCATTTAGGGCAGCTTTTTCCACGTGGTTGACATATTTCATTTTTCATGGTTTTTCAAGCACTTGTCATGCTACGTCTACCAGACCTGATCAACCGACCACATGCCATTTGGTGCTTTCAAGTGGTGACCCGAGAGCGCTCCATTCGAGAGCACACACCGCCCGGCCAGCTTGACAGGACATCAAGTTCGGGACGGGCTTGCGCTGTGTGACAGGGAAACATGTCTGGGGCATTCTGAGCTGTAAAGAGGACTTCAACAAATAAAGCAGTACCTGCCATGAACATATCCAAGCCACATTTAGATGTTCGGATGTCATGCAACCTTTGTACCTTCTTCACCTGGATACCAGAAGAAGAGCAAGAGCCGTTTGTCTGGGCTCACAAAAAGAAGTTCTTGGGGTTGTCAAAGTCAGAAGCCGGGGTTGTTTTCCTGCAACCCACCTCAGGGATGACTTTGGCAGTGGGAACATCATGCGCCCAGTGGCCCGGCTCCATCAAACGTCGGATGGGGTGAGCGATGCATGGCGCTGGCGCTGGCCGCATGCGCGGCGAGCTGGAGCGCCGAGGTTCCGCCGCCGGCCGAGGCCGAGGCACGGGTCGGAGGCCGAAGCGAGTCCAGCGATTCGGGGTAGAACAGCTAGGTCCCCCAGCTACCCTTTTACCGTTTCTTCTTTGGTTGGGAGGGTTCCCCTACTAAAATAGACTACAGAAAAAAAGGTACCCTTATTCTAACCTCTCTACTGGAGGACCTAGACCGGGTAGAACGAGTTTCAGCATGAGAGAGGTCCTTTGCTGGGGGATCCAATTCTTATCTCAGCTTTTCGAGTTATAGGAATAGTTGCAGATGGCTGGTTTCTTGAGAGGCGTCGGCAACGGATTGGCGCTTGTCGCCCGTTTTTGAAACAGACGGTCAAACAGCATGCCAAGCAGTACCTTCAGGTCCCGACAAAAATGCTACCCCGGTTTGGGCGCAGCCAGGTGCCGCCCCGCTGCAGCCCTGAACATATCAGGCCCGGCCATCGCCGCATCGACCCATCAGGAAGAGCATCCGGTTGAAGTCAATTCTGTCGCTTGCTCCACCTGTGGGAGGCATCACCACAAGCTTCAACATCACCAGCAACTGATGCAGCAGCGCCGCCGCCGCCGCCGCCGCCGCAGCAGCAGCAGCAGCTTCAGCAGCAGCAGCAGCAGCAGCAGCAGCAGCAGCAGCAGCAGCAGCAGCAGCAGCAGCAGCAGCAGCAGCAGCAGCAATAGCAAAGCAACAGCAACAGCAACAGCAACAGCAACAGCAACAGCAACAGCAACAGCAAACAAAAACAACAACAGCACCGGCACTGCACCACCACCACCAACAACAACAACCAACCAACCAACCGACCGACCGACCGACCGACCGACCGACCGACCGACCGACCGACCGACCGACCGACCGACCGACCGACCGACCGACCGACCGACCGACCGACCGACCGACCGACCGACCGACCGACCGACCGACCGACCGACCGACCGACCGACCGACCGACCGACCGACCGACCGACCGACCGACCAAACAACAACTACCACCACCACCACCTCCACGACGACGACGACGCCGGCGACGACGACGACGACGACGACCGTCACCACCACAACCGCAACCACAACCACAACCACAGCCACAACTGCAACCGCAACGGCAACCGCAACCGCAACCACAACCACAACCACAACCACAACCACAACAACAACAGCAGCAGCAGCAACAGCAGCAGCAACAGCAGCAGCAGCAACAGCAACAGCAACAGCAACAGCAACAGCAACAACAGCAACAACAGCGACAACAGCAACAACATCAACAACAACAGCAGGAACAACAACAGCAGCAGCAGCAGCAGCAGCAGCAGCAGCAGCAGCAGCAGCAGCTGCAGCAACAGCAACAGCAACAGCAACAGCAACAGCAACAGCAACAGCAACAGCAACAGCAACAGCAGCAGCAACAGCAACAGCAACAACAACCACAACGACGACGACGACAACAACAACAACAACAACAACGACAAGAACAACAGCAGCAGCAGCAGCAACAACAACAAGAAGGAACACGCGTCGTTCGCCGCCGTGGAACTGTTGTCGAGAGGACAAATCAGAAAAACAACACAACAACGTAGGTTGCCTAAGCGCAGACTGTACCCAGTCACATTGGAATTTCGTGCGCAGAACTCCAACAACTTAGTCGGAAAGCTCCATTGTGAAGGGCTTGCAGAAAATCACGGGTCGTCTGAAAAAGTGCTCACAACCCAGCAATAATGCCCAAACTCAACATATCGACAACTAGAAGGAAAAGGGCGCCGTTACTGCGGACACGCATCCAAGAAACAGATGCTGGGCGGGTGCACTTGAGCGGGTGTGCTTTTTAGGTGGCAGGCATGGCTACAGTGCTGGGCGGGTGCGCTTGAGCAGGCGTGCTTAGTAGGTGGCAGGCATGCATACAGTGCTGGGCGTCGTTGAGCGGGTGTGCTTATTGGGTGGCAGGCATGCGTGCAGTGAGTTGAGCGGGAGTGCCTATCATGTT